TTATTATTCTTATTTGCAATTTCACTTGCATTCAAATGACGTTTTGATTAGTACTGACGTATATTCATGTTTTCTTTTTGATTTATTGAAAAAGACATTTCTCTCGTCATATCAATATGAACTACAACGATTATAAGAAGAAAAAAAGGCTTATGAAGATTGTAGTATTGATTTAAACATATTCAATAGAAGTAAATGAGAAATGATTTGCGTCAATATAAGATTAGTGTATATTTTACATAAATATGTGCGTCATTGAAAGAGCTGATATTTTCAATCGTTCTTTTAAAAATAAGTTTCTTCTACATTTCTATTGATTTCAGTTGATTTAGTTGCTTGCTGTTCTTGCATAATAGAATGAAAACAAGATAACTCTATTAATGATATACTCTGATGTATTCGACGAAGTGAATCTTCTTGAAGTATTGATAAGATTTGCGATGATTGACTTTGCTTCATGAATTTATATAGATGAACTAAACTTCGACCATTACAATCAATGAGAAGCTGGGATAGTTGAATGAGTTTATGTTGAAGAAGCCATTTATGTACTTGTGTTTGTGACCACTGAAGAATATTATCAGAGAATGTTTCCACTGATGATACAGATACATTAGGAGGCATAATATCTATATCTATTTCACGTTCAACCGGTGTTATCTTCATATCAGGAACATGAATAGCTTTTAGTTCTTTCGATAACATTTCCATTGCTCGCACAAATTCATATTTTGTAAAATCAATATACAGTAGTTGACTAACCAAAAATAATAACCATCCATCTGGTTTATAATGCTTTTGCATTAGAACTGGAACTATTCGACGTTGTCGTTGAAATGCATAGTGTGCTTCAGCTCGACAAAAATTGCTTTGTCGATATTGTTCACTCATACAAATAATAATAATTTCTGATCGATCAATAGCTTGTGCCATCGCATCCATGACATTTCCATGCATTTGATCAAAATCAATCCAAACATGATACCCACTTTTAGTTAGTTCATCATAGAGTTGTTTACAAAGAACTTTTTCTTTGTGTGAATAACTAATCATAATATCAAAAGTGTTCTG